GGCTATCTCTTGTAAGTTTGACTTGGGATTTTGTATACGACTCGCGCTTTGTGGCATGTGGGAGGGGCTGGGACTTTGTGCCTACCATTAGGCACGTTCTGCCGTGATTGTGAATGTTGGGTAATAGGGTCATGGGGCGACACTACTGAAGGTTACGATGATATTAAGAAATACCGATTCCCTGAACAGTAATTAACTGGTTTGGCTATGGGATGACCTGAGAAACAACACTTGGTACTTGTTTTGGCGTGGCTGTGTGAAGGCTCCATAGTTATTTATCACCTCATGTTAGTTTTACGTCTGCTGGCTTGGCCGGCGACTTGACATCTCAGTGATTTGATTGGCCCTGGTGGATGTTGATCAGAGTTTGTAGTACAGTGGATACTGTCTTCTGTGGTCCTTGTAATCTACCCATTTAGGATGCAAAAGTTATGCATTGGATGGTGTGAAGGTGACTTAGACTGTTTACTCTCCAGACTCTCGAGTAGTCATGCGGAGCCAGAGTGTTTGTCACTGGTGCTTGGCAAGTTTATGGGCCGAGAAACCCCCGGGGAGGACATAGTAGTGTCGTTAGTGTTGTGTAGGATAGGTAGCGCCGGAACAAGACCTGCTGCAGTGGTTCCACACTGCAGGTTTTCTAGAGCCATGTATCAAGTGATCTCTTCAAATAGAAGTCACTGTGCATCAGGTAAACTTCTCGAATGATGCTGCTTAAATTATTACGAAGGATGCCTTAAGTCTATGTATAACTACTGTCGCTTGGACAACAGATCGTTTCACTGTCTATTTTCATACACTACAACAAGTATTCCCGATCGCGATAATCCACATTACCTTCTACGTCAACATGGAACTGGAAGTGCATTGATTTAGACATTCACCTTGGTCATGTAGCTGTGGATAGTCTACTGACAAATAAATAAGCAGCTGAACGTTTTATTCTCACATTAGTAACATAGCATGAGAGAAGCCAGTTTACAGGGATCGTCACGTTGGTATATGCAGAGAAATCCACAAGAGTTTATGAGTCCTGAATGCCACAGAGGGTATGTCATTGAACTCCATTAAAAACATCAGAAAATCCTGCTAGTTATGAAATGAATAAGAGAATATCGCTTTTAGGCTTATACAGAGTGCTAAAGTTTGGAAAATTATTATTCTTATCCTCATATAATGGATTTAACATAAGACATATCAGCACACAAGCATAGTCAACTTGATGACACTTGAAAGCTTGCAGATCAGTATTTAGCATAAAATAATTCACGTGTCAAGTCGTTGACACGCACACTCCCACTAAAACTTGGTAAAATTCATGAAACGGGCATGGATTTTCATTTTCCACCTCACGTATAGGTTCCACTGTTAGAAGTTCGGGCTGTAACCAGCCGTCGTTGTCAGTCCATTTCCGTGGTTTGTTATTCAGCAGTAGGATAGTCTATTCATTAGAGAGTTCTTCAGCTTTTACCCTTGCCAACCACAAAGGACCCATGCACACGATCCGGGGCATCGGTAAACAATCCACAGTTATATAATCAAGGTGAATGCCTAAATCAACCCATTTCCAGTTCGCCATATTACGCTTAAAGGTAATATAGAATAATCCCACTGGGAATACCTGTTGTATGGGATGGAAATAAACGTTGAAGCAGTTAATGCTGGAAATGGCAGTATTTATACTTAGACCTCAGGTATCTTTTGTGTTAGCGTAGGCAGATAGTATAAGTGGGTCCTTTTGTGGTCAACAAAGCCAAAATTGAAAAACTTTCTAATAAATAGAGGGTTATATTTTTAAATAACAAACTATGATACTGGACTAACAACGTTGGCTGGTTATAACGCAAGCTTAGAACAGTGCACGCCTCTGTCCCTAATTGTGGGACCTATATGTGTGACCAGAGATTGAAAACCCACGTCCGTCAATGACCTAATATGTGAATTATTTAACATCAAATGCCATTTTTAAAACTTTCAGGATTTATCGATTTGACGATGCTTGTAAACTGGCATCTCTCATGTCAAACCCATTATATAACAGTACTTATTATAACCTAAACTTCAACGCTGTATACGCTGAAAAGTGATATTTTTTTGTTCGTTCCATAACTAGCAAGATCCTCTGATATCTTTAACAGTTTAGTGACCTCTCCTTCGTCCAACTCAGGACCCGTAAAGTCCTGTGAATTTTTCAACATACATCAGTGTGATGATGCCTGTAAACCGGCTTCTGCCATGTTATGTTACTAATGTGAGAACAAAACACTTAGTTATCAGAAATTTAGGCGCCAGACACATGCAGACAAGCTCTGTACGCCAAGGTTTACACATGCATTTTTACGCGCTGAGTTGTGAGGCCAGTGCCCTCCAAAATAGTCAAACAGCAACCATGCATAGCCTGAGGGACAAGTAAACCTTGTGAAAGTCACCTGTTGACTTTAGTGTGGGGTTCGCTAGTAAGCACTAGCATCTGAGTGCTGAAAAGCATTTTTTCACACAACTAATCATCACCCGCATCAATTTTTTATTCATATAATACCTCTGAGGCTGCAAAATCTGTGGGAACTATGACATCCAAATCAGCCCTAAGTGAGTAGATTTCTCCACTCACACTGAGTACTTTTAATCTGTCGCAGGCTTTAGACATGCACATATAGGCTTACACTCATAAAATCAAGTGAAATAAGGGAAGGTAACATCCCTCTGAGATTCTTGTTTCGCAGATGATTCAAGGCATCCAGAAGTCATTTACTTTCCGAAGCAAGTGTGTTCACTATCATGATGTACGCACTATCGATGAATTTTCTACTGACCGTGCTGAGAAGGCACAGCATTCCACTAAGGGGGGATTTAGTAGGGCCTAATTGCCATTTAACCCTTAAAAAAAGTTGGTACGAGGATGTGAGTGACGACCAGAGACTTCAGCTCCTGGCATATAGTGTCCATGTGGTTCTTTCGTCCAGATTCGGAACTTGCGACTTGGTTAATGAGTCGTCCTCCTCTAGACGGAATATTCGGCGTGCAGACGTCACGGTGATTAAAGAAATAGCAGCCCCCTTATGCTGGTTTTTAACTGGACTGTTTACATGGCTCTGAATAAATTCAGGACAACGTCCGGAAGTGTACCATTTTTAATTCCTTGGTCGGTACCATGGTGGCCTTCTTGTTGACCTAGCCGGATAGATAATGTGACCCGAAGAACACTGAAGACGGGGAGGCGCCACTGAGACTTATTTGTAGAGACAAGTCGTGTTACGTTTAGTTGAATAACATGAGGCGTAAACCTTTTGTAAAACTCTCACCACTTAACACGGCGTTGAAAATGAAAAGCAAGCGGTATACAGCCATATCACCTGTCTCAAAATACCTCAGATGTAGGACAGGGAGTTATTGAGGAATACTCGGGCTGCTTCCTAACGAAAACTGGAATGTCTCACCAGAATCAGACAGAGAGAAAAAGCCCTGTTGAATCACTTTGGTAGGGTCTTTTCTGTAGCTAGTAACACACAGATGTTGAGTACGGCCAGGATTGGCGTTTCACGAGCGGCTCCCATTTCGGTGGATGGTGATGTAGCGGTCGGGTCGATAAGTTGTGTGAAGTGTGGCCCGTCGCTGGACCCTGAAGGTTCACGCTTAAGACTAACACTGACTCCGGCTGACATCATCCACGAACCTTCAACCTCCCCCTTCCAAGCAGGGCTACTTAGAGAATGAAAAGACGCCATCGCATGACACATCTTCAAAGATGGTAATAGACAACTAGTTATCAACCATCTCCCAGTCAGTTTGATGTGCATAGTGGAGAAAGGATTGGAGAAGATAACCAGGGCTGAATCACTGGGCCGGATGGAAACGCATGGTTTATTGGTTTAAGAGCAACATGGCTTCCCATTTGGATGCTCCTGTCCAGCGAACTTACTTAAAACCAGATGATGCGGGGGAAAATAAATTACTTGTTGATATGGTATTTACTTATATTGGAAGGACATTTGACAGGGTTCTCCACTTGAGCTTGCCGAAGAAGCCCGAAGGTTTGGCATAGGTGGCACTATTTTGGGTAAAATTATGTGAATGGAAATGGATCACGAGTGGGATTCCCCAGGGAACTGCGTTAGGGCCTCTTTTGTCCTTGCTCCGTAGCAATGAGTTGTCAGGCGTGCTTGTGCCATTGTCCTTGCTACTTCCAAATGACGCTGGGCTTTCGAGCATCGTTCACGATGACGATGGTAAGATAGCGCTCTACACTGAGTTCAGTGAGCTGTCTAAGTGGCGCAACAGCTAGCGCCCGGAAACCGACTGTAATAAAAGTGCAGTAATGCACATTGGTTCAGACTTGTACTCATCATATGGGTTAAGATTGCCTCGTGTTATCGGCCATAACTCGGAGACAACGTACGCTGTAGCGTAGCAGAAGCCAAGGCATTCTTGACGCTGTGTTCACTCCGCAGGTCCTTCAATTCCTTTGATGACAAAATATTAAAGACACTTTATACTGATACTTTACATTGTAAGACCTAGTCTGGAATGTTGCAAGAAGCAGGAAGCGGACATTGAAACCGATAGGAAGAATGGGTATAGGGCCTTTGATAGGACTACCCCATCTTCTCTACGAGAAGTGCTTGAAAAGTCAAAACCCTTTCCCAGTATCAAGTAGTTGGAACAAGGGAGACCTTATATTAACATATCGTACCATGAATAATGAATAATGACTTTGGTGCTGGTCTCTCTAATATTTTCACCCCTTGTGGGATTGTTTATGTAAGGGGTTACCGTAAAATTGCTCAAAAGCCACGATCGAATAAATCACGGTCGGAATTCGTTTTCTCATTGCATTGTCCGGAGCTGGAAATTATTACTAAAAGTGGTGGTTGCTGCTCCTTCGGTGAACGTCTTTAAGGAGAAACTGGAACTTTTAATTGTTTTTCACTTCCAGGATCAATGCAGTTTAGTCAGCCCACTGTCCTTTGACGTGTAGACTGCGTTTTAAACAACCACTTTAATCTATACTTGAATTCATGTCAGATAGCGGTAAACTCAAGACCGCTGCGTATTTTAATTGGTAATCGTTATTGTGCTCTTAGGATATTATTTAGCCTTCATTTGGAAGGTTATGAGAGAGAAACACAATAGCATTTAAAATTTCTATTGTTTGAAGTGTGTAAAGTTTGAGGGAATAAGTCATATCACCGAAATAGAGGATACATATGTAATTGTAACTTGCTGCTTATTGTTTATCCAACAATTTTTTTTGACTCTTCCATTTAACAAATCCCAAGTGATTTTTAAAATCTACTTCGTGGCAACTTTGTTTAGGAGTTAAACGTTGTGAGAAGTGATACTGGTCGCAAATGGATATTTCTGTAGTTCACTTTATTCTTTAGTATACTAAAGGGCTGTGTGGTTAAACCTCCATTTTTTGTGTCATACACTGTGTTTTCTGTTGATGATTCCTTTGTATTGAAATCATTTGGAAAGCTTTATTTGTGACTAATACGCCTTGCGTTGACTAAGTGTATTTGGTGCTGTACATACAGCATTAAAATCATGACAAATGTAGAAATTTTTGAAAATAAATGTAAGCATCACCGATTAAAACTGCCTGTCATGAGGTATGCATTGCGTTCTGTGTTTTATCTTAAAGTTCTCAGCATGTGTGGATGTTTTCTGGAGGTTATCAATAAAGTAGGCGCTTTGCTTATTTGGGAGAGTTTCAATTCCAGTGATAAGAATAGGAGGCCAATTTGTATGTGTTAATCCTTGCAGAAGATATCTTTTTGAAGATCTAGTTTCTCCTTGAATGTGTTGGCCAAAGGTGCTGATACTACTTGCTGAAGTAAGGAGTTCCAGTCGTTGACCATACGATGGGAGAAACGCAGATTCACGCTAAGTTGATTTGACCCCGGTTTCTATGTTCTTTTGAGACTCCCATGGAGATACTTTTAGCAGGAGAGAAAAGATAGGAAATAATAGTATTAATCTCATTATTGAGGATATGGATTGCCAGTATTAGACCACCTCGTTTCGTAAGGTAAGACAGTGGGAATAAGTTTAGCCGATCTAGTCAGTCTGCATGAGACAGGTTCAAAAGGCCTGCTACAAGCTTAGTATCTGCTTTTTGAACAGTCTGGAGTACGTCAGCACCCTTTCTAGGCATGGACTGGCCCCTTGAATGCAGTATCCTGAGTGAGGTTTAACGTAAGTAGAATAGAGTATTCTGAACATATCCTAATCAAGACTTTTGAAAGCTCTACAGATAGACCATAATATACGGAACTCCTTTGCTGCAGCTGCATTAGGGTCTGCCAGCTGCACATTTAGTCTGTAATAAAGACTTGGATTAAAGTTTAGTAAGTCCTGTTATCAAATCGATGACTACTCTTCAAAATAAAGCATTTTCTTTGCCTGTTACAGGGCTATTTGTTCGCACTTCTTTCCGAAAAGTCAGACGTAATATCAGGAAATATATGCGAAATTTTGTGAAGATTATTCAAAGCAGGCAAAGTGTTCTGACAACTGTTCAAGAATGCATTTGTTTAACTGGTCACTTCTGACTCATAGGCCACAATTACACTTGATTCCTTTTGTTAAAAAATTAGGAAGTGTATTTTTTTGTAGAAATATTTATTACGATATTAGTTGTTTATATTACCATACTACCTTACACATGTTATTTCAGAACCCTTTTGTAAAACTGGCATCAACTCAATGAAGTAATCTATGGGCAGTCTGTTCAAATAGTCAGAATAAGATCAGATTCATATTTTAAGGATAGAAAGGCATGAACTTATACGATTGATTTTTCAGTAAATTTCCATGCTTGCCCACCTCTCTCTTGAACAAATCAATTTATGGCGCAGAAAGCACTTCTCTTAGGAGTCGGTTCTAAGAGTTTATTACTCGACGCGGGAACAAGTACTATGCAAAATTAAGGTTCATCCTTTACTTTCGTACTCCCCAGCTATGTCTTACTGAGAGCTGTGGTTTAAGGAGATGACTGTCGGCCGCTGGGTTACGGATTTTATCCCCGCTTCAACTGTCGAGGTTTGGACAGTCTAGGAGTACCACTAACCCTAACACAGTATGTGTGGTTCATTGCCTACTGCACCCATGTGTACAAGGTAGCCGAGTTCATATTCTTTCTTTGCTATGTTCTTTGAGTTGTTCGAACTCATTTAAAAGGAAAAGAGAAGATAAATCGGGTTTAAAGTAGTTTCTCAAAGTCCTGGATAACATGACTATATATCCCCTCTGTTTGTGATGTGATAAAGAGAAGAGTCTCAGCTTCTGAAGTCGTTCTTGGTAGGTCAGGTTGGCCATTTTGCCTTGTGGGACTCCACTATCCTGGTAATTGATCCTTATTCTTTGTTTCATACCACAAAGAAACTCTGGTCTATGCAAAAACATTGCTAGTGGTTCCGTAACTTCCCGGTTGCGTAAGCAATCTGGAATGCCCCACGCAAGTCTACAATAATGACATCTGCAGGTATCCTGCCATTCTTAGAACTAACCCAACGTTTTCTGATTAAAAAGGTTCGTCAAGCCATATGGATAACGAGACAATAGAGTGTTACTATCTGGGTGGGCCGTAATGGTATTCTTACTGAGTCTTCCCGAGAGTTTAACTACAGTGCTGGTCACGATTATCAGTCTGTAATTTGGTCAGTGCTACTTAGGACCTGCTTTGTGGACTGGTGTGGCTATTGCGTCCATCCAGTCATAGGGTAATGTTCCTTCACTAAGGGACAGTCTAAATATATTATTCAATAGACCAGGTACATGGAGTAGAAGCTCTTTGAATAGCCTTAGGTACAGTTCACCAGAGCCCGTAGCTTTTTCTACATCCATATTTCTTAGTATCCTAAACACATTATTGCAATCGATGTCCATAAAGTTTATTCTATTGACTTTCAGTGCTTCTACTGTTGAAGTTGTGTCCATTGAATGTTTCTGGGCAATGACCTCAGCAAAATCCCCTATTTAGCTTCTGCTTTGTCCTCGTCTTAAGCTATCTGGATGGTTTTTGTTCCTTTGATTATGACAGGGATACCACGACACGTTTTATTCCTAAAGTTCATGTGAGAAAATAGCTTTTTTTGATGTTCTGCTGCAGCTTGGGCGAAAAGCGCTTCAAAACATATTCGGCAGCGACGGACAGCAACGACTTATCTACTACAGTTTTTTTCTAATGCTTATTCATTCCTAAAGTACCAAGTTGAATGAGAAGACTTCAACACTTTTTACTCCTGCGTAGTATACTTCGAATTTAGCAATTTATCACCAAAAGATAATGCACTTGTCTCTACAAGACAGTCCATGTAATGAGTGGTTGATTCACTCGTGCACACAGCTGTTTAAGAGAATACTAAGCAGCCTTAACTGGGACTTCTTGAATAACTTTCCAGTCCTCCGAAGAGACGGTCAAGTTATTAGCTACCATGTTTGTCTTAAACAAAAACCAGTAGTGTCTTCTAGGGATACCTGCTGTCACGATTCCTGTTTTATTCCTTTATAGATGTACTAATGGACGAAACTATAGATGCATTTGAGTTCACAGGGATTGGTCTACTCCCTGGAAGACATGTGGTTGACTTGGTTTACGTAAACAAAATTGCCCTGTTAGGCGCGGACGCTGACAAAATGAAGGGTCTTGTGAACGCTTTGGACAGAAATTTATATGTTTGGCATAGATTTTGTATCTGTCAGGTGTCAGATGACGCCTCACGACTGATGTACAGATACTCCTGGTTTGATGGTAGGGAGTGAAGTGGTTGAATGTGCTGACTTACTTACTTGGGGAGTTGCATCAACCCAAACGGGTTGGCTGATTATGAAATCCCAGCTTCGATATGGAAGGCCTATTTGGCATTATCCAGTCTGCGTCACCTGTGGCCCCGACTGGTGAAATATCAAACCACGTATTAGAGGACGAGTATACTGCACTGCAGTCCTATTGTACGGCTGACATGGATGTTGAAAGTAAAAGAAATAAAGAGACTACAGGTTTCTGACCATTATGTCTCCGAAGCATTGCTAACTTATGATGGAATCACCATGTAAGTAATGTGAAGGTCAGGGGAAGCGTATTCGGCGGGTAAGGAAAGTAGGTTGATGAGGTCATGAACCTTCACTGACTGAGGTGGCTTGGGAATGTGTTGCGTAGGCCGAGCCACCACTTGACTCCTCCTGAAACTAAAAGAATTCGAATTCGGTTGTAAGTAGGCTCTGGTGATCAGATCAAGGGATGGTCATGAACTCTATGACTGCTAGTTTCAGCCATACGAGTGTGTAATAAATCTGGCTAGGGCCTCCGAGACCGTAGGAATTAGATCATTGGTGCAATGGCTGGAAGTCGATCACTATGGTGCGAACGTACTCACCCTTTAGCATTTTTAAAAGTTTAAACATTTTCACCAACGTTGATTTACAAATCCCTTTTCTTCCCATACATCTTTATTTATTTGATATCAGTCTGTCTCTGCCGCCTCATTCTTTGCTTTTCTGCTTTTGTAAAGTGACGCAGCTGGAACTGATGCACTTTTATGCGAGGTTCTACGTTGATTTAGATTGTCTCTCTGCTTATCTTTTTTATGATTCTATAATTTCACATTTATCATCTCTATCTTTCATGTTGGTACCTTGTATCCTGACATAATTATGTGAGTTTTGACAACTCGGACTATTACACAGTAGTTGCGGGTTTCATACTGATAGTGCTTGACTGTCTGAGTGTAATCTGATATTGTATGGAGCTATGTGAGTAGTAATAGTTGTTTGAGGCTAAATGTGTGTCTATAAGCACATAGATTATCAGTTGCAATTATATGTCCAAAATGACTTGCTTCTGTTGCAGTTTCTTGCTTTGATCCGTCTTTGTGGATAATGTTTTATTGCCATTGGTGTCTCCAGGTGCATAAAAAAATAGTATTTTTATGTTTGTTAGCGAACCAATATGTTGCAATTTGGTTTGAGAATGATTTTACATTGACTTCATTTCAATGGTCATTTCGTACTATTTTCTTCTTTTATAGACTTATTTCCTCTTGATGAAGAATATGCTTCACTGAAGCATTTTAAATTGCTGTGATATGTTGGATTCAGTCTGTTGAACACAGTTGTTTACTTGCACATTCTGTTAGCGTAGATAACAATAATCGTAATTGTATGGAAAACAGTATAATCTACTATTACTGCAGTAACGATTGAACTTAGAAATAGTGAGTTTACATTCAAGTGTTACGCTTGCTATGCTCACGAATGATTCGATGAAACTTTATCGCAATGGATAGTTTTACATCAGAAACTGAAGGAGATATAATTGTCTCAAGTGGATCAGCTTCGGAGGAAGATGATAAACAACCATCCAGTTATAAGTAAGTTGATCATTTTTATGCAGGTTTTCTAAGCGATAAAAAGATGTCTTTCATATAAGTATATACTAAACAAAGATATCAATTATGTGTTTATGGCGGTCTTCATGATGTTGGGCTGTTGGAGGCAATTGATGAGGAATATTGAATTATTTCATGCCTGTTGGCATTGATAAGCGTGGAGCTTCTACTATCCCGGTGAACTTTACTTGCTCTTAAAATGTGATCAGACATATAGAAAAATCGAGTTAAGACTCTGAATCGGAGTGCGATTCTGTAGAATTTCAACCACAAATATTCTTATGCCTCGGTTAACTTTTAAAGGTTTGAATTAAGTTTAGCAATCGGGGGTGTGTTGGTAACAGATTCTATGCTTCAGTGATTGGTGCTAGTTAGTTTTTCCTCTACATATTTTTACGGTTGTTACAAAATATTAACAATGCCAAGTGTTGTAAGCTGATAGGGCAGTAATTTGTTCAAACATAGAATAGAATTTTTGATTCCAAGTTAAGATCCATCTGTTTTGTGATGGAAAATAATGATTTTATTCATGCCCATCTGAGCAGGGAACGTTTGTGGAACAGTTTATTTTTATTAAGAATTTATTTCGGAATTATTGTTTATGGAGCTTAATTAAATTGAAGAAGGTAAATTGTTTGAACTCATTAATTGGATAACTCTATTTGGTAATTGAATTAAATCTTTTGATTTGAAAGTCGTAAGAAATCCGTCGAGCATACAGAAAATGTAGGCAACGTTTTCTAAACTATTCAACTTTGGCGCCCACGGACTAACTGGTTGATTATCAAGAGTTAATTTCTCAGCAAAAGGGTATGATCTTTTATACCAAATGTAGCTGGTGAGATTGGTTATCATAAAACTGCAGATATTTTATTGTCAGCGCTGTAATAGCGTTCGTGCGATGTAGTGAAGTCAAACAGAAGTTTTTGTTAACAGTCAATGGATGTTATGCATTACCTCCGTTAGTTTGTAATTGTGACTGTTTTAATCATATATTATTTATCTGCAAGCTCTCTGGTACATGTTTACAGCCTCTGCCACAGAAGTCCTATTCACTACCTTCACGTGACAGGGGTGTTTTCACAGATATGAAGAGGTGCAAGCGAATATCCATTGCTTATCATCGGAGTTGGAAAACCACGATTCCAAGCCAATGGCGCTCATGGGCTGCAGGTTCCAGATAGAATGAATGGCGTATGGACCTATTTTGGTCACCAGCAACCATGCGAATGCAGCTCCTGATGTTGCTCCACTGCCTTGTGGATTAAACTTCAAGTCAAAGGCTCGGGGAGTGGTCTCCTAAGACAGCCACCTGCTTCGGTCTCGGTGCCCGGACAGTATCCCAGCTCTCACACAAGATATGAATTTACAGTGTAAAATAAGGATTTCGAAGCTGTTAATCAGCGTTTCTGCGAATACTCAAGCTCTCCGCACTACGAACCTTTTAACCGATTACTCAGTTTATTGCCATTATATTGTTTTTTTCATATGGACTGTTTTTTATTACTACCATTTTTGCTTTTGTCTTTATCTTCACTTCACTCGGCTGCTCTCTACTGCCTAGACTTCTGGTCTGTCTGTACCGTTTTGAGTCGTTAAACGGTTTCTCCCGCAAAGCTGTCCTCCAGTGCGACAGCTGACACTGCTACCCTGAAACCACGCATACTGTTTAAGCCCGCCATCTTCAACATTTAAATCTTGATGCAGATCGAACAACAGGCAGTTGTGACTCTGCCACTCAAGCCTGAACTTAAATAGATCATATTGCAGCAGCTACCAATGACGTGGATGCATACAGGATTATCGCTACACATGGAGTACTTATCGGGACTCTGATCATGCTTTGGTGTGTACTAAGCTCGTCTTGCCTTTTGGTGATCATCAAAATCGTCGTTTTTAACAAGTCAAAGCAAGTAAATTTAGTTGCACCTAACATTGCAGCTGAATACCACTCGGAGCTAGATTTAGGGTTAGCTATCTATCTTCCAGAAAGTGTAGATGAGCATTGGCTGCACTTGCAAAACTCCAGGAAAATGGCTAGTAAAGCTGCTTGCAGCCTCGGACAGACGTTTGCCTAATAAATACTGGGTCTCTGAGAGCTTCCTGCAACTTCCTGGCGTCCTTCCAACAATTCCGGCGGGTAGCCAGTACAATGGTTCGTGTAAGTCTCTCACGTGGAAGATTACACAAAGCTTACGCATTGACCGCGAGGTTTAATGGTCAGAACGCACGAGTGAGATGGAAGCAGCAGCTAGATCTGGTAGTAGTCGGAAGCTGTTTCAGCTCACCGGGGCCACTGGCAACAAGAGTCCTGGTGTCAGTTATATGGTCTGTGAAGTAGGTGGTACGCCGATGAACAGTCTTCAGAGATGCCTGGAACGCTGGGCAGAGTACTTCGAAAAGCAGTTTAGTTGGCCCATGGCTCCAGCATTGTCCGCTTCAGTGTATCGTGCTCCGTAGTCAGTCAACACTGACCCACCTAACAAAGCGGATGTCCATAAGGAACTCCAAGTTCTGGAACGTCGCAAGGCACCCGGCCCAGACAACTTAGCCTCTGCTCTTTTTAAGGATTGAGGAACGATTCTAGTCAGGGAACTGACTAGATTGTTGTTTGAGAAAATGTTGCAGACTGAGACTGACCCATCACTCTAGAATGAAGCCATTGTTGTGCCCATCTTTAGAAGCGATCTAGTTAATGTACGTGACAGTCATCGGGGTGTTAGTCCGTTACCAGTCGCGTCGAAAATATTGGCCGCTATCGTATTTCGCAGACTCTGCACAACACATGATAAAATGATTTGCGAGGAGCAGGTGAGTTTAGTTCGAGTAGTGGATTCATTGATCACGTGTTTACCCCCCACCAGATTCTTGAACATCACACGCATTGGAGATCAACAAACGTTGTGTTTCTTGACATTAAGGCTGCTTTAGGTACTTTGGAAAGAAGCTGTACTCTGTAATTGTCTGTTGGAGCGGGGTGTGCTGAAGAAATTTCTTAACACTTTGATATTCTCATATATATATATACATACATAACGCCCCGGGTAGTATGAGGGCACACAACCACCCGTCTCCATTGTTCTAAGCCAGCATTGAGATTAGTCAGGGTTACTCTACCCCTCCATTCCTCTTTAACTTTGCCATCGACGACATTCTTGAGACGTCTCCGAAGGAGGTGCGTGGTGGTGATGTAGATCTACTACCCGAATAACGGCTTGCTACGTTGAATATGCAGACGATATCGTCTTACTGTGTGATAACACATAGGCTTCTCAAGCCGCATTTAATCAGTTGGTGATTAGTATTCGTAAGTATGGTATGTGCTTTGAAGTGCAAAGTACTTTTGAAAGATTTGCAGAAGCCTATGCCTACGCTCAACCTCGTCCGTGAGCCGTTGGAAGCAGTCGAAAAGTTCGTGTGTCTGGGTAGTTGTGTGAGTACTGGTGCTTGTGTGAGTGGTGAAATTTACAACCACATATCGGAAGCCAGAGTGGCATACGTCAATCTGGGCCACCTTTGTCGCCGTCACGACGTTAGTCTGACCTTAAGAGGTCGGGTTCACAATGCTTCGATGCGAGCAGTTCTGGTGTACGCCTGTGAAACCTGGCATCTCCGAGCTGAGGATGTACGATGTGTGTTCAATCATCGTTGTCTCCGTGGGATTGCTCGTATCCGGTGGCAATACCATTTGAGTAATTCTGAGGAACGACAGCGTGTATTTGGGCATGATGGAGATCGTCATCCAATGAGTGAAGTGATCTGGAAACACCGGCTTCGGTGGCTTGGACATATGTTATTCATGTCGACCAAACGACTTCCATGCCGTTCATTGTTTGCTAACCCTGGGACTGAACTCAAGAAGTGGAAGGGTTGTCAGTGTATGAAGTGGCGCCGTGGATGAAGGATAGTTGTATCAGATTAGCATCTGTTAGTGTATCCCGACTCCCTGAGTGGGTTCCGAGAGATGTCACAACTCACTGGGTTGAGACGTTATTAGATATGGCTCAGAATCGAAACCGGTGGTGGTCATTCTGTAGCTTCCTTCTATCTTCTGCTGCTGAAGAGTAATGAATGTTTTGTTTGGAGTGTATCTTCCTGGACTGTCTTCCTAACCATCCTATTCTTATTATGTTTTTCTTTTTATCCACTTTCCTTCGCTTTGTGCCTTTAAAAATAGTGTTGTTTTATTCTGTGTGGTGCATTTCTTGGTGCCTTGTTGTATTATGTTTGTGTTCTGTTAAATATTAAAAATTTGTCTACTTTTGGTTTTCGTAACCATTAGGTATCTAACAGACAGTGAGAAATTTCACTTTGCAATTTTTTCAGCTCAAGTTTAATACTACTGGTTGTGCTGTGGAAATCATCTTTTGAAAGTTTCATTTAGCTATTCAGAATGGTGTACATTTGTCAAAATTAGTCCATATTCAAATCAGTGTATAATGAGAATGACATTATTATTATTATTAGTCCCTTGGGTTCCTAGTGGAACATAGGGCTTCAGTAGCACGTCTCCAGTGACCTCTGTTCTCCGAGATCTTTTGAACCTGGTTCCACGACAGCCCACAACCTCTCATTTCCTCCTCGCATGACCTCCTCCATGTCACCCTCGGACGTCCAACTCGTCGCTTCCCATGGGGATTCCATTCGAGGGCCTGACGCGTGATGTCCTCAGTCGGCCTTCTCAGTGCATGGCCAATCCATCTCCACTTCTTCCTGCATATTTGTTGGGTGATAGGTTCTTGGTTGGTTCGTTCCCAGAGTTCCTTGTTGCTTATTTTTTCTGGCCATCTGATCTTCAGCAGCGAGCGTAAGCAGTTGTTGATGAATGTCTGTAGTTTATTGGAAATGCCTTTCGTGACGCGCCAAGTCTCTGAGCCATACAAGAGCACTGACTTGACGTTGGTGTTGAAAATCCGTATCTTGTTCCACATGCTGAGTGCGGAAGATCCCCACACTGGTTTCAGGCTAATGAACGCCTGTCTTGCTTTTCCAATTCTGACTTTGACGTCCTCGTCCGTCCCGCCTGTAGTTGAAACAGTGCTTCCTAGATAAGTGAAGGAGGTTACTTCCTTCAAGTTTCTCCCGTTGACGGTGATTGGAGTTTGTTGTTGTTGTTGATGTTGGTGGTGCGGTATCTTCATCACTTCTGTCTTCTCTATATTCACCTGAAGTCCCGTCTTAGCTGCCTCTTCTGTCAACTTGTTAGTTTTTGCCTGCAGATCTTCAAGTTTATGTGACATTAGGCATAAGTCATCGGCGAAATCCAAGTCTTCTAGGTTCTTTTCCGTCGTCCAGTGTATCCCCCTCTTCTCGCTGCCTACTGTTTGCTGCATGATCCAGTCCACCACAATTAGGAATATCATGGGGGATAGTAGGCAACCTTGTTTCACTCCTGTCTTCACTTCAAAGGCATCACTGAGCTTCCCATTGTGGATTACTTGGCATGTGGCATCTTCATATAGTTGTTGAATGAGGCGGATAAAGGTTTGCGGTACTCCGTAGTATTGAAGCAGTTTCCAAATTACTTCTCGGTCGACGCTGTCAAAGGCCTTCTCAAAGTCGATGAAGTTGAGGTATAGAGCTGATTGCCATTCTACGCTCTGTTCTATGATGATACGAAGCGTTGCAATTTGGTCAGCACATGATTTGTACTTCCTGAAGCCTGCCTGTTCCGGTCGCAGTTTTGAATCCAGTGCGTCTTTAAGCCTCTCCAGGATGATGCGGCTTAATATTTTACTTGGGGTGGATAGGAGAGTGATTCCTCGCCAGTTCTTGCAAGCACTGAGGTCTCCCTTCTTCGGCAGTTTGACAAGGTAACCCTTCTTCCAATCGACAGGTACCTTCTCTTCCCTCCACACCTTCTGCAATAGTGGTGTGAGCATGTCCGCTGTTGTCTCTGCATCTGTTCTCAGTGCTTCTGGCGGTATTCCATCTGGTCCTGCTGCTTTCCCGCATTTCAGTAGCTTTATGGCGTTCAGGACTTCCATTTTCGTTGGGGGATTTATGTTCACTTGTAATTCAGCGGCTGCAGGTGGTATTTCTGGACGAAGTGCAGGTGGTGGTCGATTCAAGAGCTTCTTGAAGTGGTCGGCCCATCGTTTCCTCTGTTTCTCTTCTTTTGTAATTAAATTTCCTTCTTCATCTTTTATTGGTTTCATCTGTGTTGGTCTCTTCCCTGATAGCAACCTGGTTATTTGATACAATGTCGTCAGGTCTCTCTTACCTGCAGCCTGTTCTGCTTCACTTGCCAGTGTGTCGTAGAAGTGTCTTTTGTCTTTGCGTGCACTCTTCTTCACTTCTTTATCCAGTGTTTTATACATTGTGCTCAGTTCCTCTTGTCGTTGAGCATCCTTGCACTGGTTTATCTTCTGTTTCACCATCCTCCTCTCCTCTATCAGCTTCCAGGTATCCGTCGAGATCCATTCCTTGTCTTCCACCTTCTTCTTTCCTAATACTGTTGTGCAGGTTTCTTTCCACATAGCTTTCAAAGACTTCCAGTGTTCTTCTACACAGGTTTCTTCAGGGATGTCCCTCGACGTCTCCCATTTTGTCTTGATGGCTGCTTTGAAGGTCTCCTTTGTAGTTTCATCCTTCAGTTTCCGAGTGTTGTACTTGAATTGAGGTCTATCACCAGCTTCCTTGAAGGCTTTCAACTTGATTTGGAAGGTTCCTTGCACTAGATAGTGGTCTGAACCTACATCTGCTCCTCTTCTTGACCTTGTGTTAAGTAGACTGCGTCTCCATTTTCTTGAGATTGAGATAAAGTCGATTTGATTTTTAGTGTGTCCATCTGGTGAAGTCCATGTCGCTTTGTGAATATCCTTGTGCCTGAACACACTGCCTCCAATCACCAAATCGTTGAATGCGCAGAATTCTGCAAACAATTCTCCATTCTCATTCATTTCACCTAGCGCCTCTCGACCCATGGTTAGTTCTCTTCCCGTGTTGTCCCCCCCCAGTTTGGCATTCATGTCGCCCATTAGAATTTTGATATCGCCAACTGACGTCTTGTCCAGTGTTGACTGAAGTTGTCTGTAGAATTCCTCCTTTTTCTCTTGCTCTGCATTATTTGTAGGTGCATAACATTGTATGATTGTGACCTTTCTTCCTTTTGAGTTGAATCTTGCTGTCATGATCCTGGAGGAGATTGGTTCCCACTGCATGAGAGCCTTCGATGCTCTTGAGGACATCATGATAGCCACTCCCTCAGTGTGCTCGTGGTTGGCGTCTGGGTGACCAGAGTAGATTATTGATTCTCCAGTTGACAGTTTGGAGAGTCCACTCCCATTCCATCTGCTCTCGCAAATCCCAAGCACTTCGATGTTATACCTTCTCATCTCCTTTGCAATCTGGGCTGCCTTACTGGGTTCAAACATCGTGCGGACATTCCATGTCCCCACGTTTACTTTCGCTTTCATCGAGAGAAGACACATCGGCCAATTGGCTTCCCGAAGGCTTTCACCAACTGGCGTCATTTCGCCTCTCCGATTCCAGCGGGGAATAAGTTTGTTTTTATTTTTTATATTTTGTTTGTGCTTTGAAGTTTCTTTAGCGGTTAGATTTGTTTTACGGGGTAGGGTTGCTAGCCCTATGCCCAACCTTCCCTCTTTACCCGGGCTTAGGACCGGCTAGTAACTAGTAAACTAGTTAACCAGGCGAGGTTGACATAATTAGTGTAAACCCATTTGTGAAATTTCATCTTGATTTCCACTTTAAGTGGACAAAGGTACACTGCAGATTTCATGAAAAATGAGTCAGCTAACGAGACTATGAAACTTCATAGATTGATGTGATTGCGTTATATGCTTTGCATCAATGGTTATTGCTTTTATCAACTGTTTGCAATAAGTAGAGTAGCAACAGACTGGAAATTACTGTAGAGTGACCAGGCTAAAGCTTGACATTAACTCTTATAGTGGTTTCCGCGTGACACGGATGTAAGTTTCTCTTAATATGGTGATACATCTTAAATGATAAAAGTCAGTCAGCTTGATCCAGAATATACTATGATGGCGAATCTCCTAGATGACTGGTCATGTTGCATGCTTGATCTTAAGAATTTAGTTAGGAAAATAGCCAGAGAACATAACTTTATGTATTCTTCAGCGATTTATCAATGTACGTATTGATACAATTCAATGATATTCTCCAATTGATGGAATTCGTATGATTGGACTTATGACGATTAGGCTACAAAATGTTTCAGTAAATGGTTTAAGCATTCAGTAGTCAAATACTGGTCACCAATTTCCGTATGGTTGACTCTTTAGTCCTTAATATTCTCTAACAAACAGTGGCATTTTGTGCTAATTGATTATATTTCAAATACCATGTTCGTTTTCCTAGAATAATATTTTATTTTTAAAGTTGATTGTTTTTTGTTAAATTTAGAGGTGCATCCACTCTAAAAGGTTGGTTTCAAGGTCATTCGTTTGTGAAAAAGAATCTACATAAACCTGCCACATGTCATCATTGTTCCGATCTCTTGTGGGGCATATTAGGAACAACAGGCATGGTTTGTGAAGGTTAGTTGTTTGTTAACACGATTATTATTCATAATACTGACAATGTTTAAAAATATTTTTTGTGTATTTTAGTGGTGTTAAGTTGATCAAACAATTTTCAAGTTATCCGCCAGTTTTATATTTCCTTACAAATGGGTGAATTTTAAGTTTCCCAAAGTACTATTATGATCATGATTTATTAGCAAGAGGCAGTTTACTGATTGCACGCAAGTTAACTGACTCGATTTGGGTTGTTCGAACAAGGTGACTTTATTAGCCTATATAAATAGTCTCAAAGATCGATGTGCAGTTAGATCACTGACATTTCTATAGAGAATCTAGATAATAGTCGATGTAAGTGTTACTTATTATGTCACTCAAAGGTAGTTCCATATTAGATTTGTTTATTTGATATAAAGCGCACAGTGATACAGTATTAATAATAATAATAATCCTAGCAGAATTTACGGTACTATTAAGGTTCATAAAGCAGGTTATCCCATTAGGCCGATAGTTGACTTCCGAAACACACCAACATATGAGATATCAAAGTATTTAGCATCAGTATTACGTCCTGTTAGAGACCGTTCCAACTCTAGACTAGTAAATTCTTACGATTTGAAACAAAAACTTAATGACCTGCACATAGAAGAGGATGAAAAAATGGTTAGTTTTGACGTAACAAGTCTTTATACTAAAATACCAATCAATATGGCACTGGAGGCAGTCAGAAATCAACTAGATACTGACTCACAACTTACTCAAAGAACCAAGGCATCGGTTGGTGAAATCATGTTAGGAGTGCAGTTATGCTTAACCTCGACAGTCTTCAAGTTTCAGGGAAAGATATACAGACAAACAGAAGGAGTAGCAATGGGATCACCAATATCCCCTATAGTAGCAGATATATTTATGGATAGTTGGGAAGATATGGCTTTACGAACATATAATCCGACACCTAAGATATGGTGGCGATATGTAGATCAAGTAAATAATACTGTATCACTGTGCGCTTTATATCAAATAAACAAATCTAATATGGAACTACATTCTACCACAGTGCCCAAGTTTTTCACTTATATTCACTCAAAGGTATTTTATTAACTACTGACAGATTAATTCAAAAATAACAACTTGGGTGCATTGCTTGATGGATCAAATTCCCTCATATGTGAGAGAAGAAATGTTAACAGTTAAGTGCTTTTTTCGTCGAATGGTTTAGTTACTGATTATTGCAGGCTTCTTGAAACGCTATTTTCTGTAAGGTAGATTGCCACTTTTAGTGAGCAGTTGGCAGTTATCCATATCAGTCATCAGTAGTTGATAAATTAACAGATTTAAATCAATAACTAGTTTCAGACCCAGTTCATCAAATCTGTACAATGTTAAAGTAATTTCATAGGGAGAAGTCATTTAAACTACTTGACTGTAATCAACTAATTTAGTTCTTTGATTTTCGGAACATTTCAGCCATTCTTATATTACTTAATGATTGGTATAAAATAGTCTTCAATTACTGGCTTTGTTGTACAAAACTGTAATAAAACTTGGGTTATTGATGACGCTACCGGCTATAAGTTGAGAAATTCCGGTTTTTGGCGGAAATCACAAGAACACTCGTATACATTCAGATCACCTGTAGGTATGCATTTTTTAAACTTGAACTGTGGATCCTACACACTCTAGCTTTGATTTTGGGCAATTTTACCGATACTACTCTGTAATAAATATTATCCCCAAATTATCGCTTCTGATATCATCTGATGAAGAGTTCCTACCTTGTCGTATCTATCTGGTTTACCTCGCATAGTATTCCGTTGGCATCTTTTGTCGGTCATCTGAATTTAGAGAGAGAAGTTTTAGCAATTAACAGATGATAGTTGATCCATCCATGGAGGTTGTCAACCTTCGTATAATCCACGTATTTGCTTTTCGAAATATAATCACACATATTGTATCTTTTTTTCTTTCGTCTTTGTTGTAACAATCTGATTAACATTCTCCTTTTTCTTTTTTCCTCATCTCATACAGTATGTAATTTTCTAGCTCATGAGAAGTGTATGCGTGTGGTTGTTACTGCATGTACTTGTATTGCACCATTTTTAACTAAGGTAAGTGAATTTTTTCGACGAAAATTAAAAACCGCATTTATTTTCTTGATGAAACTTTGCGTGTTAATCATGATCTCTGTGTAGAAAATGTGCATACAGTCCTTTGTCATTAAGTTCATTCGTGATTCATTGGTAATCAATGATAATTAGAGAGTTGGGAGCACTGTATTAACTTACTGCATTCAGATTGTCACTATAAGCAAGTTATTCTAGTTAACAATCAGGTTTATGTACTTCCTCCAAACATTTCTTTCTGCTTGTGTTTCAAGACTAAAGGGTAGCTGGGTAGATATAGATTTAAAATGCCTTAAAAATTAGAATAGAAAATTATCGTTGTGTAGCATCGATATGTCGGTATTTAGAATGTAGCCAAGTGAAGAATAAAAAGGTGTACGTATCATATTCAACATTGCTTTGTAGTCGATGTAGAGTTTACGAGAACTATTTTAGTCGGGTTGCAGTGACTTTAAGATGTATCATAACGAGATATGGCTCCAGGTCAGAGTAAAATTGTACAGTTTATCTGCCAAGGTGTAACTGTTAGCTTCAAATTGATTTTAGTAGTTTCCTCTTTGCATTGTTTGTTTTGACTAATAACTGGATACTTGAAAGATTTATTATGAAAATAGTCAATTCATTTGTTGAGGTTGTGAAGGTTCATTGAATGATGAGGCTTAGGGATGTTTTGCACTCATCGAGCCACTCCTACCTTGACACAGTGTTAGCGGATGTAAGATTGAATTGTAAGAAGGCTAAAGGCGGTGAATACAGAATGTGGAACAGGTTGACAGTTAACACTAAGAGTAAGGAAATGGCCTTGGACACCGTCTATTGACCAGTGATTCCATAATTGAGGCAGTTATCATATCATGAATTACTTTCATAACAAAGTGAGAAAGTTTTTCATTCTGGCATCGATGAAGATGAGTCGTAAGTGTTAGTTTATATGGTGGATACACTTTTTTTATTGTTTCCTAAAAAGGTATCTCCTAAATTTTCAACTATCTGTCAGTTGCCTTGGAATATTTAATACTGCCTACAATTTAGGTACCACTTTCTTTTCCTATCAGTAGTATCTTACGGACAGGGGATATAGTTAGTTTGGGGATTTCTTTGAATTTAAACAAGTTCTAACTCATATTAATATATAGATTAGTTTTAAAAAGGAAGATAGTTAAAGACTGTGTAAACACATTGAAAATATTCGTTTACCTTAAAATTGGAATGCATCATTATTCTTGACTGGGTAGCTGATGCACAAGAATAAATTAAACAGCTTTTTAGCATGTAAACTATGTTTGGAGGTCACATTTATCTGTTTACTCTTCAGTAAATAAAGCTATTGGATAATAATTTTGGCCGACTAACATTTTTCAACAAAAGTTAAGCAAATTTGAATTAATTTGTCATATATGTATGGTAATTATCCTGAGCATTTGGACATTCAGATCAAATGAAGAAATATCTTTTTTCATATGCATTCGGTTATTTTTCACTGTTCAGGTTGCATTTTTGATTGCTTCTTTTATTTTTTTAGCAGTCGTGTTAGTAGTGTGTGTCTTTGAGTTTTTTGAGCATTGGTCAAGGTGTTTTAATATTGTAGGCGTTGTGTGAAGATTCCTTTTTTTGGCGAAGACCATGTATTGGAAAGCATCAAATATCGGAACACCAAATGATGGACAATTTCCTGTTCAGTAACCGTAATTCAAATTAAGGGTACCTATATTAGGGATATACATAAGTAACGCAAATATTTGAGAAATAAATGTAGGACTTATTTTTTTTTTTTTACAGGATCCTGTTCCTCATTGTTGGTCAGAAATTGGTCATTTTAAGCGTAAATTTTGTAATGTTTGTCGAAAACGTGTCGATGATTTACTGGCGTTAAAATGTGAAAGTAAGCTGTAAACCAGTATATATTAAATATCAAGAATGCAAAATTTAACCTTGATTACTTTCCATTATTCTTATTCATTACTTCGTGAGTTAATAATAGTGTGTGTGTATGTGAGAGAGACAGCACATTACTAAGTTGCAGTAATACGTAAAATTTTGTCTTAAGTTTCTTTTCTAGCATAACTAACTAATAGTTTGTTCGTTAGAATAATGGCTCCTGCTTAAACTGAAGCATACAGCGAACTGTATTACATCTTTCTGGTTGTGCTGTATATGATGATGAAATTCGGTGGTTAGTAGAGATGTAGTTGATGAGGATGTAAATGAATCACAAGAGAGCAGATACGCATATAATCATTATATTTTTAAAAAGTACCAAGCCATTCATTGATTCTGTTTTTATACTACGAATATCTTATTCTTATTTTTCGTGACTGTAATGTTGTAACTATACATGATTTTTAGGTTTGTCTTAGAAACTTCGACTGACATTCTTAGACTTTTTGTAAGGCTTTTACGACCCCTACAGGACATATTAGTAATTACTGGGATCAAAGTGATTGCTTGTTTCTTTTAATTTAAATTGTTTTGCCCATCTCTTTGATGGAAGCAAATATTAACCACTGAAATATTGAATGTTGTTATAGATCTGAAAATGAGTGTATAGTGCATAAATTAAATGTGAGCTGTGGCTCATTGGTGTAGGCAGTTGACTTTAAACTAGTGTGTCACGCGTTCGATCCTAGCTCTATCTATAGATGTGTGGGCAGCTAAGTAGTATCATAGGCCCTCATACACTGGCACATTGTCTACTACAGGAAAGGTGTACATGGTTGCTGAGTGCATTTTGATTTTGATTTCGCATAAAGTATTTCGCGTAAAGTATTGACGAGGGATTTAATCTTGAAGAATCCAAGTACAACTCAGCAACACCCTTACCCATGTAAATATTTACAATATTAGATATTAGTAAACATATTTCCTTGTTGGAAGTCGACTGTGTAGACGTATACCTTTGAAAAAGTGAAAAAGGTAAAGCTTTAAAAACCATTTTTCATTCTGAGCCATTATTATTAGTAAAACAAGCGAAATAAAGCCTGATTTGATCGCTCACAGTCTTAACTCTACAACAGAAAAGCAAAATAACGAAATGAGTAATCAGTAAAATGAGGTGCCTGCTGTAAGCCAAAAAGTCACCGTATGTTTTTGTAGGAACATAAAGAGCGAGTTCATGCTCAAGAGTGCCATCCTCTTTCAGTTATCCAAGCTACTTGCTTCTGTCATCATATACAGCACATTCAGAAAAAGGATACAATTACCGTATGTAGCTTAACTCCTGCATTAACATCACATTTCGGAGATAAAGTCAACCAATTTCATGTTGTCTGGTCCAAAGTGCTTATCGAGTTCTGTAGATCATTTCTGAATGTGGTTCATATCTCTGAGAGGATATCAGTTTCCGTGATTTTGCAAATACGCTTTATTTGCAAGTGCTAACCATCACGAAAGATAGTTAAAAGGCTTTCTGCTGATTGTCTTTAACTTTCTGAGACCAATCAAAGTTCAGCGTGATGCTGAGTCGCCTAGTTTGGTGATCATATTTCATGAAGATCGATAGAACGCAGTCAGCTCCTTGTACTAGATAACATGAAATTGACTACTCTCTAGTGACTAATAAATTTATCTAATAAAGTTCAAACCATCCATGTTAGTAGGTTAATTTAAGGTGAAAGTTTATGTTTTATTGCAAATATGATGCATTGCTATCCTTAGTTTTTAAAGATTATAAGCCGTTATTTATTCACATATATGCACACTCTCTGCTTTACTCTTCTTTTTCGATATTCTGTTGTGTTGTAATAATGATATAGAGGTCAGTAGTAGTAGATAGTGTTTCTGAATATTTCAATTCTGTTGCTTGAAACTAACTTGAATCGTACAAGATTTTAAAATTATCTTGTGTATTTTATGTCATTGTCTAGCATTTACTTTATGGTAGTGTTAAATGATCTATTCTTCAATCGCAATTAACTTCATATGTATGAGTTTCTTAGTGGACAAGGGGAAGAAAGGATTTTCAGGAAAAAATCAACTCGTTTCATTGTTCTTATGAATAATAAATAAAATAATGTAGCTGAACCCGGTGTACGTGTTTATGCACTAAGCTATGAATCACATTTCTTGTGCGAGGATTTATAAAACTTTCCAACATCTCACATTGAAGTAGATACAAAGGGATTCGAACTCAAGACTCTCTACTTGAAGCTGGAAAGTTCTAGGCAATGGGCCACAGTCTCATGCGTATCAACTATCAAGATCATTTTCAATTACGATGGTTATTAAGGTATTTTAATTAAGCTAACTAATTTAACGAAAGTTTAAGGGATAATCCCGAAGGTTATAAGTTAGTAAATCCAAAATGTTAAGATAAGTAAAAATGTTAGAGGGTAGGAGTCTATTGGCAGGAAGCAGGAAAGTAGAAACCACAAATTGCGGTAGGAAGTTTATTGATAATCTGTGTGTGGATAAATTAAAGATTTCGTAGAGGGTATCGGAGAGCAAGAAAAAGGAATATCTAATACTCATTTGAACTTTAAGTCTGAAAGAATTAAGGACCTTGACACTGGATTCAGTTCATTAATTGAGTTAGTTGCTAGTCTGGTATTAGTAAGTGATTATACAATAGAAATAAAACGTGATCAGAACGCATTTACTAAAGGAGTAAGTGATTCATCACATTCTCTTAGTTTAAATGGGTTTGACTGACAAAGCTGCATGATAAAAGCCTCTTCACAAGGAGTGAATCCGAACGTCTTCTACAATTTTATAAGTTTAGTGTCCTATACCCATGAAATGTTTGATACCTAAACCTTTTTTACTTTTAATTTATCCGCTTCTTTGTTTGTCACTCTATCTTCTATGGGTAAAGCGTATGTTACGGTTTTATGTACTTGTTGGTTACTTGGAGGATTCATGATGCGCGTTTCGTCTCACTTCAGACTCTCCAGCTAAATACACATGCACCTCAGTGACTGATAGTATTTGCTTTGAAATTGAACCCGAGCAGCCATTGCTTTAAACGCTACTGTGTTATCCACTAAGCTATTGAGTAGTGATGGCCACCTTGTGCAAAGGACATAAGTTGCTACTATTAAGGTTTTGTAATTTTGTGTGACTTAATTGATTAAATCAAATTAATCTGCCTCTGACATGTAAGCGTCTTTTCACGTTCAATATAATGTCGCTTTGTTTTTCATTGTAAATAAAGCCTCAGTGAATATTATGGTAATTCTATTTGACAATAAATGCATGCCCCTGTATTAACAGAATTCGATTTTGTCAAATATGGTAGACAGTGAGGAACGTTACAATCTAAATCCATATGTTACTGTAACTTTCATAAACAATACTCCTTATATTTTCATTGTATACTGGTCGGTCACTGTAGGGTAACCAATCAGTGTGCCTAATTCAGTCCTACAGGAGGTCAGTCGCGGCCCGAATATCTCAGTGGTAACATCTCTGGCTGCAGCACTGAGTGACGCGGATTCAAATCTCAGGCGGGACATCAGTTCCATAAAGGTTGCAGATGTCTTGCTGACGAGTGGCAACAAGCACGAAACCTAGGTCCAGGACTGCCTGCCGATTACCTTTATTCAACTAATATCATTATATTTTCAGGTTGTTTTCAGAGGTGATTATGAGTTACACAGTAAAACAAATTGATTTTATTCTATGAAAACCTAGTTCCTTAATTTGTTTCTTCTTAATCTCAGCACCGTATTCCTAAGTGCACGTATATGTATACGTGTGTGGGTTTAAATGGAAAGACAGGCAAAAAAGGTTCACCTTGAGAAACGCCTCATAATTAGTCTGTTTCTACTAAGCAAATTGTGTTTAGTGATTGCCTATTTATTCTTAAATAATTGATTAGATGAAATTACACAGTTGAAAAAGAAAGTGAATTCAATTTCTCTTGTGATATGTTATTATATAGTAAAATATAATTTAGTGCAAGCGAAGAAAACGCAACAAAACTAAATATAACAATTTACCGAACAGGTGTTGATCAAGGTCATATTTACATTGTTTATTTCACTGTCCAATTCCCTTATATATATATATATATATATATATATATATATATATATATATATATATATATATATATATATATATATATATATATATACTCAAGGCGAAAGGGAATGCACGCAGTTACCATATATATAAGTGTGGAGTAGATAATGACCCTTGCTTATTGTGTGCAGGCCAGAGATAAAACCTGGCTGTGGCAACTGTTTGGTACGTAAAATGGGGTTCAAAACTGCGACCCACTAGATGAAAGACAAGTGCCTATACCCATGAAATACAGCTTCACATTTACTAAATGAACGATGTGTTGTGGTTAGTATTTAAAGTATCTGGGTTTTTTTCCCCCATTGAACTATGAATATTTTAAGGATAATTATGTAAAGAAAACTAGACAGCTGACAATATACACTTAAGTATTGCATCTAACACACTGTATTCCACTTTGAAATCAATTTTCTGAAATTTACGTGACAATCAACAAGGACTTTAGCAATTTTTATCACGGAAGTGGGTTGCAAATTCATATATTTGATCAGTATTCATATGTTGCAAATCAAAAATCTCTGATATTCTGTCTATCCAAATATCGAACAATGAAGCGAGTTGTAAACTTGTCCGTCGTTTGGAATAGCGAATTTTTAATGTCATCAGAGAAGTAGTGGGTCACATTTTTAAGCCTGCAGTAAAAAACCAAAAATGTAACTGAATTGATAATGACTATTTGGTGACGGTGCTATGTCACCTTATTCGTTCAAAATATTCAGCATTATATTCTACAAGAGTTGAATGGAAGTACATTAAGTAGTCATATTCAAGTCAAAAGGAAATTAACTCTGTCAACAACAGTGTAATCGACTAATTTATAGCATTATTATACTTTCAGTGAAATAAATCCAAAGTGGTTCT